TATTGAATCACTCACAATTAATTTTGTTGCCTTTGAGGCTAGAATAACCTACTTATTAAATCTTCTCTAGAGCTGCAAGAGGATGGAAGCAAAGTCCGGATTACACGTACAGCATGGAATTGTTCCCATGCTTCCTTGTGAGGGTTGGTTGAAATTCACTCCAACTTCAAATCTGAGCTAGGCAAGCATCATGGCCCCGGGGCTGGTGTTCAAGCCTCAGTACCATTAAAATAATGATGATGATGATGATGATGATGATGAAGAAAGAATTAGGTCCTGCAAGGAATATTCTTTCCCATGCCATATTTGAAATAATTCTTGGATATAAAGTTCACAGGGACAAAGCAATAGCATTTGTCACCCATTATCACTGATGTAAACCAATAGACTGCCCTGGAGAATTGGATGAGCAAAGAGTTAAGCCTGCAGTCCTGCGGCTTTTCAGTAGAGCAGTAAAGCGGCACCTGTGGGAATTATAACTCTTACCTAGCCTTCCCTTCCAGCTGCCAGATGTCTTCAGTGTCTCCCTCGCTCAGCAACTTTCTGGCGTCCTGCCCACCAAACTGCAAGGTAATACTTCTAGAATTTTGCCTAGGTTTCTTTTTGGTACCGGGGCTTTAACGCAGAGCCTCACACACTTTTCACTTGGCTTTCTCACTCAAGGCTGGCACTCCACCTCTTGAACCATGCCTCTGCTTTCTGCTTTTTGTGAGGTAAGAGTCTTCATGGACTTTTCTGTCCAGGTTAGCTTCAAACCTCCATCCTCAGATCTCAGCCTCCTGAGTAGCTAGATAACAGGCATAAGCCACTGGTGCCCGGCTTGCCTGCTGGATATTTGACGGTTGGCAATGGAGGGGCAGTGTGAGGGTTTATGTCAGGTTGTCGTTCATGAATGGAGAGGAGGCTGGATGAATGGAGAGGAGGCTGGGAGCCTTTGTGGGCTCTACTACCTAAAATTAAAGAAAAAAAAAAGATGGCTGGATGGAGGTTATGTCCCACAGCTGAAGATAGCCAGTCCAAAGCTCTTCTGCTTGTTAAAATTTTTTTTTCAGTACTGGGCTTGAACGCTGAGCCTCATGCCCATCAGTTAAGCACTCTTCCACTTGAGTCATATGCCCAGCCCACATTGTTTTTCGTTATGTTTCAGATAGGGTCTTGCGGTTATTTTTCACCTGGCCCAGCCCAGATCACCCTCCCATGGAGGTATCCTGTGTATCTGAGATGGTAGGCACACCCACCTAGGTTCAGCTTTTCAGTGCTTGACATGGGATCTCATAAACTTTTTGCCTGGACTGGCCTTGAACCCCTGCCTCCCCTGTGTAATGCAAGATGAAAATGGAAAGAGCCCAAGCAGGGTTTTCAGACTTCTCAGGATTGAGCTCCTTCGTGTTGGCTGGTCTGGCATATTGCGTAAAAGGCCCAAGTTCCAGAGACTCTTTTGGAGTGCCAGCGGCAAGATCTATTTTTAATCAAGAGCGTACAGGGTATGTCCTACTTTACAAAACTCTAATAAATGGAAACCTGTATTTACAAGAGACATAGGCTAAGCTGTGATGATCTACTAAATCCCTGAAGCTCATTCAACACCAGATCTTCCTAATCTATGCAGTGGACCTTGGTTTACAATGATTAGTTTGGTTTGGTTTTAATTTTGTTTGTTTTTGGGGCAACCACAAAACCCAGGGCTTAAATTCAGGGTCTGTGCACTGTCCCTGAGCTTCTTTTGCTCAAATTCATGCACTTCAGCCATAGTTCCACTTCTAGCTTTTTGGTTGTTAATTGGAGAGAAGAATCTCACAGACTTTCCTGTCTAGGCTAACTTCAACAAGTGATCCTCAAATCTCAGCCTTCTGGGTAGCTAGGATTACTGGAGTGAGCCACCAGCACCCAGGTTGCATTGGTGATTTTTGGACAGAGTTGCACTTTATGTCCAGCCTATCCTGGACTGTAATCCTCCTATTTGTGCTTCCCAACGCACTTAGAAGACATGCACTACCATGCTCAGCCATTGGTTGAGTCTTGCAAACTGTGCCCAGGTTGGCCTCAGTACTCATTCACAGATTTTTTTTTTTTTCCTCCCAAGTAGCCCAGGACTACAGACCTGACCTACTACACTGGGATACTTTTTGTGTTTTGTTTCTGAGGCAGTGTCTTGATCTGGTGCAATGACTCATATTTGTAATCCCAGGGATTTGGAATGCTGAGATTATTGAAATTCCAAACCATGCCCAAGGGGAAAGCTGGTGGAGAACCCATCTCAACCAACAAGGCTGGGTAATTCAGCATGCTTCTGACATCTCTACTATGATGGAAATATGAATAGGAGAACCTCAGTCCAGTCTAACCCTGGCATAGGCTTGAGACACTATTTCATACATACCTAAAGCAAAAAGGGCTGGAGGCATGCCTCCCATGGTAAGAGTTTTTGCTTAAAGTACAGACTGTGTATCTGTGTGTGCACTTTTCAGCTTTTCTCTTTTTTGTGGGGGGATAGTTTGTTGGAGATAAGATTTTCAGAGACCATGAGGGCTGGTAGCTCATGCTTATAATCCTAGCTACTCTGGAGGCTGCGATCTAAGGATCAAAAAATTCAAGGCGAGCATGGGCAGGAAACTCCGTGAGACTTTTCACTCCATTGAACCACCAGAAAACTGGAAGTGGAGCTGTGGCTCAAAATGGTAGCGCACTAGCCCTGAGCGAAAGAGCCCAGGGATAGCACCCAAGCTCTGAAACCAAGCCCCATGACTAACAACAACAAGAAAAGTCACACAGGCTTTCTTGTCCAGGCTGGCTTGGAATTGCGATCCTTAGATCTCAGCCTCCTGAATAATTAGGATTACAGGCGTGAGCCACTGGCACCTGGCAGGCCTTGGTTTGTGACTCCAGTTATCATTTCAAAAACAAAAAAGTTCACTGCAGATAAGCGATGAAGCAAAATCAGTTGCATGCATACTACTTGTTGCCTGACTCCCATCCATCGGCACGCTTAGGTGCTTTTTTTGACCTCGGCTGTTTCTGCTCAATCCCTGCCTACCTAGAAAGCTCTTCCCTCACACTCAGCTGAAATCAGGTCCCTCTTGCTACAGCACTGCTGTGTCCTTTTTCATGTATGGATGCCTTCTTTTTCAAAGAGGAACAGCTTCTCAGGGCCATGCTATAGCCCCGGCTCCTAACACACCACCTGGTTTATCTTAGCAAAGGCATTTCAATCCTGCGTGCAACGTATCCTGAGCAATAAATAAGTAAATAAAGATTTTTTCACATGAGGAGGGACAGGGGCTGGATGTAGAATAGACGGTGTCCAGGCAAGGCCTGGGAGCCAGAGGAGCTGCTGCAGACAGCAGGCATCTGGCAAAGCCTGCACTTCAGGCAAGGGCAGCCACAGCGGCCGCGGGGCGGAGACACCCCTGCCTGCAGAGCAAAGCGGGGTGGGGGCCGGAAGCAGGGGGGCCTTCACAGTCTGTGGGCGTCTCTGTCTACCTTCTAAATGATACCAGAGGATGGGAGGCCAGAGCCAGGAGGAAACCTGGGAGGCTTCAAGGATGCTGCCAGAGCCATGGGAAATGCTGCTTTGCAGCAAGGTTGAGTGATGGCAGCCATGTTTCCTCCAGAGGAAGCTGCATCTCTCATTTCATGAAGCAGGAATCCTTATCCTGCAGTGTCTGATCTCTCTCTCTCTCTCTCTCTCTCTCTCTCTCTCTCCCCCCCCCCCCACTGGGGCCTGAGAATGGTCCCTTAATTTTTTTTCTCAAAGTTGGTGCACTACCACTTGAGCCACACTTCCATGCCTGGCTTTTTGGTGGTTAACTGGAGATGAGACTCTTACAGACATTCCTGCTGGGACTAGCTTTGAATTAGGGTCCTCCAATCTCAGCCTCCTGGGAGTAGCTAGAATGACAGGCGTGAGCCATCTGTCAGGCTGGAACACCTCCTTGAGGGAAAGGAGGTCCTAGCTGGCCAAACAGAAAGACCCAGGCATCAGGAATTGCAAGAGACCATCATCAGCAAAGTCACAGCCTTGTGCAGGCTGGGGGAGCCCCATTCTACTGGTTCAGAGCTACCAGACTGGATGGATTTCAGGTCATGGTAGGAGAAGCAAAACAAAACAGCCGGAAGAAAAAGGATTAGAGTAACAACAACATGGCCAGAACACACCACCAAGAATGAAGGAGGAAAAAAAGGGTTCAGCCCAGTGCTGGTGGCTCACACCTGTAATCCTAGCGACTGGAGGCTGAGGTCTTGAGGAACCTAGTTCAAAGCCAGCCTGGGCAGATAAATCTGAGAAACTCTTATCTCCAATTAACCACCAAAAGGCTGGAAATGGAGCTGTGGCTCAACTGGTAGAGTTCTAGGCTTGAGCAAAAAAAATAGTTCAAGGGCAATACCCAGGCTCTGGGTTCAAGCCCCTGGGCTGTCCCCTTCCCTCACCACCAAGAAAGAAGGCTGAGGGTTAGGTTGTTTAGACACAAAAGCCTTGTTACAGGTTCACATGTTCAAAGCTAGACTGGGCAGTGCAATATGTCTTGGAAATTAAATAGAAATAATTTAACTTGTATTGAAGAAGTATGTATACATGCTTCTGTATATGTGTGTGTGTGTGTGTGTGTGTGTGTGCGTGCGTGCATGCACATGCGCACATGCTATGGAATTCTGGCTCATTTACAGCTGAAAGAATATTATCAAGGAAGGAACATGGCTAGGTTGCATAGACATCTATAAAAAGCCAGAATATGTGGGCAGTCCTTCATGACTGATTTCATTTGATTGAGTCAAATCAACTGCCTTCCTTCTTGTCTGCCTGCCTTCTTTCCTTCCTTCATTTCCACCCCACCCCTAACCTCTGCCCAACTTTCCTTCCTTTCTTTTAGGGATGGCTGGTAGAATTCAAACCCAGGACTTCATGCTTGATTGCTGTAGCCCCGAGCAGGTCTGTTTTCTGCGGGTTATTTTTAGGATAGGGGCTCACTTCCTGCCTACTCGAGGTTTCCTGTTTTTGTGGCTCAGATGACAGATGCAGGTCAGCCCACAGCATCCAGCTTCCCTATACTGAGACAGAGATTCATGGACTTTCCTGCTGGGGATGTCCTGAGACCATGATCCACCCAATCTCAGCCGGTGGCAGGTGCTTTTTTTTTCGGGGGGGGGAGGGGGAGTGTATAGATGTATGGCTGTGAGCATGCGCAGATGTGTACATGCCAGTCCTCAGGCTTGAACTCAAGGCCTGGGCTCTGACCACTTGAATTACAGATGTACTTCCTGGTTTTTGATGGTTAATTGGAGATCAAAGTTTCTCAGGTTTGTCTGCACAAGATCTCACCACCTGAGTCGCTAGGATACAGATATGATTTTTAGAAAACCAAAACAGTGACAACAAAAAACCCAACGTCTTGCAGCTAGGGCTGTCTGGAAATCCTAAGCGGATACAGAAAGAGGTGGCTCCCACGATGATTTCTCAGTTTTCATCTTTAAAAATATGGGAGTAGGGCCGGGAATGTGGCTTTGTGGTAGAGTGCTTGCCTAGCATGCATGAATTCCTGGGTTTGATTCCTCAGTGCCACATACACAGAAAGAGCTGGAGTGGCGCTGTGGCTCAAGTGGTAGAGCGCTAGCCTTGAGCAAAAGAAACTCTGAGACAGAGTCCAGGCTGTGAGTTCAAGGCCCAGAACTAGTACAAAAGAAAAATTAAAAAAAAAAAAGGGACTATAGCCAGGTGCTGGTGGCTCATGCCTGTCAGCCTCGCTATTCAGGAGGCTGAGATCAGAGGATCATGGTTCAAAGCCAGCCCATGCAGGAAAGTCTGTGAGACTCTTATCTCCAATTAACCACTAGAAAAATGGAAGTGGAGCTGTGGCTTAAAATTGTAGAGCACTGACCTTGAGCAAAAGAGCTAAGGGACAGCACTCATGCCCTGAGTTCAAGCCCCATGACTGACAAAACAAAATAAAAACAACAACAACAAAACAATAACAACAACAAAAAAAAACCCATGGACTACAACTCTAAGAAGCATTTAAAAGCTGCTTTTGCTGGAAATAACTTACTCCTAATTGGGCCCAGGAATTAACAGAGAGCAGGTTAAAAACTTAGCATCCCAGGCTACATTTTGTATCAGTGTCTTTTGCTCTGTCAATTCTCTTCTTTGGGTCATTTTGAGCTTTTTAGAATCCCCGAAGGAGGGGATAGATGGGGAAGACCACCTGCCAGGAAGCAATGATTCTCATTTTCTTTTCTTTGTCGGTCCGTGGGGCCTGAACTCTAGGCCTGGGCGCTGTCCCTCAACTCTTCAGCTCAAGGCTAGCGCTCTACCACTAGAGCCATAGCGCCATTTCCGGCTTTTTCTGCTTATGTGGTGCTGAGGAATCGAACCCTGGGCCTCATGTATGCAAGGCAAGCACTCTACTACTGAGCCACTTTCCCAGCCCCATGATGCTCATTTTCATCAGGCTGCAAACTGACCAGTTCCTGAGATTAAGACTTGCCGGACCACCTGTGGTATCACCAAGGACAACAGGAACACAGTTGTGACATGTTCAATGTAATAATGAATGCATACTTCTACTTCCAATTCTTTCCCCCATCTAAACCTAAAGGCAAGGTCTGGATGCACTTAGGGTTGAAATGAATACCTTTCCTTTTCTTTCTTGTTTTGTTTTCTGTTTTTGTTGATAGTAGGGCTTGAACTATGGGCCTGGGCGCTGTCTCTGAACTCTTCAGCTCAAGGCGACTCTACCACTTTGAGCCACAGTGCCACTTCTGGTTTTCTGGTGGTTGCTTGGAGATAAAAATCTCATAGACTTTCCTGCTGGGGCTGGCTCTGAATGGTGATCCTCAGATCTCAGACTCCTGAGTAGCTGGGATTACAGGCGTGAGCCACTGGCGCCTGGCCTTTCTTTCTTTGTTACTTGTCTCTTTATTGGGTGTACTGGTGCATGTGGCTGGAACTTACCTATCCAAGAGTTTGGTCTAAAATCTCCCATAATAGAACTAATGCTTTTTGATTCTAACTCTGTGACAGGGCTGTAGAGAACTTGTGTTGGTCCCCTTGCCCTGCCTCTCTCTCTCTCTCTCAAAACAACAACAACAACAAAACCCAAAAAGCTAATAATATTTGGAACTAAGACCATCTATCTGGTCTTATTTTCTTTTACTCCAGGTCTCTTCCCCAAAGAGACCTAAAAACTGGCATTGAGAGAGAGAAAGTTCTTTTTCTTCTCTTCTCTATTTAAGGGATATTAAAACTTTCACTTCTTTTTATTTTATTTATTTTTTGTCGGTCATCGGGGCTTGAAATCTGGGCCTGGGAGCTGTCCCTCAGCTCTTCAGCTCAAGGCAAGTACTCTATCACTTGAGCTACAGCACCACTTCCGGTTTTCTAGTGGTTTAATGGAGATAAGAGTTTCACTTTCCTGGGCTGGGAAGGTGGCTCAGTGGTAGAACACTTGCATGCATGAGGCCCTGGGTTCAATTCCTCAACACCACATAAGCAGGGGAAAAAAAAGCTGGAAGTGGCACTGTGGCTCAAGTGGTAGAGCACTAGCCTTGAGCTGAAGAGCTGAGGGACAAGCGCCCAGGCCCAGAGTTCAGGTCCCACGACCGGACCCCCCCCCCCCAAAAAAAAAAGAGTTTCACTTTCCTGCCTGGGCTGGCTTTGAATGGTGATCCTCAGATCTCAGCCTCCTGAGTAGCTAGGATGACAGGTATGAGCCACCATGCCCAACTTCATTTTTATTTGTTTGTGTATGTCTGTTTTGGAGCTTGAACTCAGGATCTGGGCACAGTTCCTGAGCTTTTTTAGCTCAAGGTGAGCACTGTACCAATTGAGCCACAGTTCCACTTCTGCAATTTTTTTCATGGTTAATTGGAGATAAGAGTCTCAGAGACTTTTATTTTATTTTTTTGCCCTGGCTGGCTTGGTGTAAGGAAACTGAATCATGAGGGTATCAAAATAAAGAAAGGGCAGAAAGTGAACTCAACAGACTAATAGGCTTTATTCCAGAATGAAGCCTTGGGAAGGGCCACTAAGTCTCCTTCAGTATGGCTGAAGGGGAAATGGTGCACTGCCCCCCCTCCCGCCCCCTTCCAACTAGGGCTCTTTAGATATTAGGCAGAAAGAGTGAAATTGGTTGGGGGGGTACAGATGAAAGTGGGGTGAAATGGAGGTGGGGTGGATGAGCATTGTTATTGCGGCTGAGGGGTTTCAAAGCCTCTATAGCATCTGTGTGGGTCAGGGGCTTGGGCATCAGAGGTAGCCTTGGTCTCAGGCTCTCTGCTCTAAAACTGCAGGGTATGTTTGCTTAGGGGATTGGGAAGGTGCGATGATTCAGGCAACAAGGACAGTTTTAGGATGTAGCTATGGATGCAGCTATGGGGGGAGGGGAGAGGTGGAGCTTTAGGTTAAGTCCTTTTCCATTACTTGGAACCACTGTCCTCAGATCTCAACCTTCTAAATAGTTAGGATTACAAGTGTGAGCCACTGGTACCAGACTGACTTTTCACTTTATTATTTATATAATTTTGTTTATTTTGGTTGGTTATGAGGCCTGAACTCTGGGCCTGGGCACTGTCCCTCAGCTCTTTGACTCAAGGCTAGTGCTGTACCACTTGAGCCACAGTGCCACGTCCAGCCTTTTCTGCTTATGTGGTACTGAGGAATCTAACCGAGGGCCTCATGCATGCAAGGCAAGCACTCTACCACTGAACCACCTTCCCAGCCCCTTCCTTTATTTTCTGTAGGTCATGGGGCTTGAACTCAGGTTCTGGGTGCTGTCCCTGAGCTTTTTTTTTTGCTCTAGGTTAGGGCCCTATCACTTTTGAGCCACGGTGTCACTTCTGGTATTCTCACCAGAGGTGAGAGTCTCATAACCTTTCCTGCCCTGGCTGAGTTTGAACCAGGATCCTCACATCTCAGCCTCCTGAGTACCTAGGATTAAAAACATGAGCCACAATGCCAGGCAACTTTACATTTCTTACTGTATGCCTAAAAATTGCTTTCTGATTGAAGTAGGAATAAGTAGGGAGATAAAAGATCTGCAGAAAGAAATAAACCTTTTCTGCCTGATTCTTTGGGAGGACATGTTGTACTGCAGGTCCAGGCTCAAACGATCTCCTTAACCAACTCTATTCCGGAGAGCAGAATCTGGCTAACCACGTTGATGAGCCTGGCAGTGCACCTATAAATAATACATACACTGCCTCTCCTAAATGGGCCACAAGGAACTTTCAACCCTGAAATAAAAAGACATTTCAATTTGGACACGAGGTTGGAGGCTTTGCTGGTCACGAAATCAATGCTTTTGACTCTGTGACCCTGAGAAAGGTCTGGGTTTAGGGGGGAAAAATCGTACTCCGGAACCAGTGGCCATAATCCTAGCTACTCGGGAGGCTGAGATCTGAGGACTGCAGTTCGAAGCCAGCAGGAGCGGGACGCTTATCTCCAATAACCTTCTTAGAAAAGCCGGAAGCGGGGCAGTGCTCCAGTGGTAGAGCGCTGGCCTTGAGCAAAAGAAGCTCAGGGACAGAGCCCAGGCCCTGAGTTCAAGCCCCAGGAGCAGAAAAAAACCATCATGAAGCTATGGCTGGTTTGCCCTTGGGCAAACCATCGTCCATCGTCCTGTCAGTCATCTCTCTCTCTCTTTTCAAGACGACAGAACATTGGACTCAGAAGCAAGGAAGTCTGAGCTCTTCTCCAAAGGCAAAGCCATTAGCTGGTAGGGTCTGCTGCTCAGTTTTTCCCAAGAAGCCTCCCGCTAGGCGAGGAGGGGTCCGCACTGCGGGAAGCAAACCACCTCCCCGGCAAACCCAGAGCTCTCAACATCTGCCAATCTCCGGCCCAGGACTTCTCAGGACAAGCCGAAACGCCTACAGGGGTTGAGTGGCACCAAGGTAAACCTATCCACGCGGAGATAGTGGGAGGAGGTGGGGCGGGGTCAGAAGGAACCAATAGGAGGGCTGGAACCGCTTGTGGGGGGCGGGGTGGGGGAAACGTCGGCGAGCGTGCGTCGGAGCCGCGGGCGGG